TTTTCCCATATAGATAGTCTTCAATTTGCATTTTCCAATATTGAAAATCTGTTCCATCAAATTTTTCAATTCCTGCAGCCTTTATTTCATCTGCCATTTTTAATATTTCTCGAATTCAAATCTACAAAATCTGACCTTACAGATATGTCCGGAATGGATAAAAACTATTGGAAACGACACTGAGATCACCTAAATCGGACTTTGGATGACTCAGATTTTATCAATCAAACTTTTGGATCACTGGACGCTACAGATGAAGCCACGTGTCAGGAGGAATAGTCGCTGCTCCACATGAGATCAAAACTAGAATGCTGACATGGATATGCTGATGTGTCCGACACGTAAGATATGCGGGCCCACAATCATGACGTGGCAGAGCCACGTGTATTTCTGGCTGACGTGGTAGAGATGACGTGTCAAGTGAGGTGGCAGGTGATGTGGCTGAACTGCGTGCGTGGCTGTTGACGTGTCGGGTCAACCCGGTTCAGTTTGCAAGAAATCAGGCGAGGAAGACACGTGGAGAGCGGGAGGCGCGTGGGTGGGCGTGGGTAGTGCAGTAGGCGGTGCGTGCAAGTGCGTGCGGGCATGCAGAACATCGGTTTTTCATTGGGTTTTCACCGGTGGATTCCTCTCGTCTTCCTCTTGACGATGGTATGTTCCAAAACACGTTTTAAGAACTTTGATTTTTGAGTTTGGATCAAACACCCTCTTTTTCAAGAACAAGCTTTGATACCAGTTGTTAGGTCATTCAAGCATTTAAACACACATCAATTTACGTGGTTCGGCAACTTGCCTATTCTACGGAGCTACGAGTTTGTATTAATCAAGCTTAGAAACAACACAAACAACAAAACAAAGAGGAGGAGAAAAACTTCTCTACTCTACTCAACTCTTCTCAAGCTCTCCCTCTGTGTTTCTCTCTATTTCATGTTATCATCAGCTATTAATGACACCCTCTATTTATAGCTGATATGAGAGATAATCTTCTTCCTTTGGTCAATTATGATGGGCACCATTTTCTTTGTTTAAGCACCCACCATTGACTCTCACCATGTCAAACATGGCTGCCACTAACTATATTGTGTCCACACATAACATCCAACACCTAGTCATTCAGTCATTTCTAATTTTATTTTATTGATGGGTTCTATTTTGTATTTTATTTCAGCGTTCCATTTCTAATTTTAATGTTTGTATTTTATTTAAGAGTTTCATTGACTTAAATGTATTATGAGCGGTCAATAAAACTTCTACTATTATAAAAACAAAAGTATGTTTTTTTTATATAACAATCAAATATTTTTTTAAAAGCATGTTGGCGATATAGGGGATGGCAACCATTAAAAGATAAAGTATTGACATGGAGGAGAATGAACAAATAGAAAAGAAAAAAACTAGACGACAAAAGAAAGGCCCACATCATGGTGTATCAAAAGCCATAAAAACATGCACCTGGGTTCGAGCCTTACTATGCACGCCTGTCACCCCCGCGGTGCTTTACCTGCTCACTGGGCTTGCAGGATGTTCAGTGGGGCATGGGGATTAGTCGTGGTGCTCGTAAGCTGGCCCGGACACCCTACGTAAATAAATAAAAAAGCCATAAAAACATTCAACTTCGTTTTCTTGGTATTCGTCCAACTTATTTTTTAAGAAAGGCCTAGCACTGATATAAAGATCATAGCTTCATAATTTTTTAACCAGGTAGATAATTGATGGAGTGTCAGAAAAAAAAAACATGAGTTTAGATCTAGTTTAACATTATTGAAACCAAATTATTTCTAGTTAACCAGATACTCTAAGTATCTTCATAAGAGAATGGTTGCCATGTTTTTCTATAAACTTGCCTTTAACCATCATTGGCAATTAAACTAGGAGCTCATCAACTGTAGGTGGAACACACTAAAAGACCCCCTACCATGAAGGGAATTTGGTCCATATTTTCGACGCAAATTGACATGTAACATCATATGATCCAATGTCTCTAAAATAATAGCTGTACAAAATGGACAAAAGGATTGTTCCAAGTAAGAATGATAATTTTTTGTTTGGTTTGGTTTGGTTTGGTTTTTACTTATAAAACAACCAAACTGAATTTTTAAAAAAAAAACTCAAAACTGAACTGAATCCTATTCTAAACGACTAGTTTCAATGCAGTTCTGTTCAATTTTTTATGTCAAAAACTAAATAAATCTATATTGTTTTTTAACATTTAAAAGCCATAAAATCAAACTCATCTTCATCATCAGTATATCTCACAACAGTGTTGAATCCATACCAGCCTTTTCTCAAGCAAATGGCTTCCTATAAAATCACAAAAACACATCGTGCACGCTCTCTCACAGTAATCAATCACTCCCCACTATCACAAACCCAAAAACCTACATCACTAAAAACCATACTTTCAAATACAAACCATTACCACCATAATAAACACTGCCCATTGCTCACTATCACTTTTTTTACTCATTTTCTTTTCATAAAAAAAAACTCAGTAACTACCAACAACGCAAACCATATAATGAAGCCCAATGCCCACCCTTATTGCATCCACTAGTCACTTGTAAATTGAAAAAATCTTACTGCTACCAAGGCTTAGGGGTGTTGCTAGGATGATAGATCTAGAGATGTAAATTGAAAAATAAGATTAGAAGGTTAGGTGTGATTGTGTGGGAGCTTGAATGGGTGTGGTTGAAGAATGAAGAATTAATTGGGTGTTGACTTGTGAGTTGTGAGTGTTGTGAAGAATTAATTGGGTGTGGACTTGATTTGTGAGTTATGAGTGTTGTAGGAGGCTGTGAAGATTGAGGAGGTGTGGTGTGGGTTGTGTGGCATGTTTGTGTGAGAGGTATTTATAGAATTTTTTTTATTTGAATCAGTTCGGTTCGAGTTGCTCGGTTTAAGCATTACAAACCAAAACTTGAACGAACCGAACATGAAGTTTTTCTAAACATTCTAATTGGTTTAATTAGATTTTTTTTATGGTGTAGTTTTTTCAATTTATTTTTTTATTTTATCTGTTAAATCAGTTTTTTGATTTTTTTACTTACCCCTGCTTCTAAATATAAAAGATGGTGACCGCATAACAAAGACCTTGTACACATTTTATGTTGAATGGCTACACATATAAATGTTTGAATCTTTGGAGGAGATCCAGAGTTTCAAACCTGTGTCTGAAAAGAGCATGATTCAGTACACTCTATTCTATCAATTAAAGTGTTGCAAGATTTCACAGTAAACTGCCCATCCCTGCAGGTAGTCTATACCTTCAAATCTGATTTAGTATGATCTAGCCGCACCTCCTGAAGGGCCTGATATAAAGACATTGCCTGCTCAATTTCAAAAACTTTGAGTGTCCTCTTTTAGTTGAAGTTCCACACCTAGTTGACATTTACCCATGATCCCATTTATGAGATTGTTGTTGTTGGCGTACTTGAAACCCTGTATTACCTTGGAAACATGAATTTTAGTGGAGTCTCGCCCAACCATCTATCACTCCAAAAAGAAATAATCAGTTCATTTCCCACTGCATAACTAGAGCAACCTCGTAGAGTTTCAGCATCAGGTTGTATGAGAGAGGCGATTCATTGCCAAACAATGATAATCATTTTCTAAAAATAGGAAGACCATTTTCAAAGATAAGTCTATATTTTTTGCATATAACCTCCTGCCATCTAGCTTTAGGTGATAACTTTAGCCTCCACGACCACTTGAATAGCATAGCTTTGTTCTTTCACAGAAATGCCAAACCATCAGAGAATTCTCTTCACCATTAATAGGGATTGGATACTGGTCGTTATAAACACTAGGGTATCGTCAGCATACTGCAAGTGAGTGAAATACTCTCCGCATCCCAGTTTTAGACATCTAAATAAACAAGCCACTGATGCATGGTAAAACAAGATTGCTAATCCTTCTACAATAATGTTAAACAAAAATGGAGATAATGAATCGCCTTAATGAATTCCACGAGTGACTTGGAACTCTCGAGTAGGAGATCCATTAACAAGAACTGATAATTGTGGAGTAGAGAGACATTCTAGTACCTTGTGTTTGATGAAAGCCCTAAATGTAAAATAGTGACCGACAACATAGACAAGTTTTCCTAAACGTTCTGAACTTTTATTTCTTGTAGCATTAGATGAAGCTTCTCTCCTTTACTGAGGGGAAAAAAGGGAAAAAGTCTTACATGATTTCTTTTCTTGAGAGGATGGGAAGTAATATGTGGCCATGATAAAGTTTTAGCTAATCGAAAGCAATTTATTGTATTGGTCCTTCTGTTTTCTAGTAATGATTGTGATGAGAGCAAGTATTTATTCTTTATTAAGAATATCCTTTGATATTGATGGTAAGAAGTAAAGTATCTGTACAATTCATATTCTTGCAGCATCATTCATATAAATGAAGCACGATTTTGTGGAACCAGGACTAAAAAATACACAAAATTCAAGTTGGCTGCACAACCAGTAAATTAGTACACCAGAACTGCTCTTTCCATAATATTCAGTTACGTTTTAGCAGCAGAGGTATGAGTTGCATGTTCCGCATTTCATTGCTTCATTTCTCTAAGCCTCTCTACGTAAGTTTGAAAGTTTTTTTTTTTCTTTTGCTTTTGATATTATACATATAGTCGAAATAAGATTTATAGTAGAAATAGGTGCTGCCATGCCACGTGTTAGAGAATATAGATTATAATATAAAACTATTCGTAAAATCATCGAGCTTATAAAACAATTGTTGAGATCTTATTCAACTTTGATTTTATGTATTAAATATTTTAAAGCTTGATTTCGATTATTTATAAGAATTCTAAGTCAATTCAATATTTCTCTCTTAATATATGATCTTTTCTTTTATGCTTTATAATTGCTTTCATTTGTTTATTGTTTACTTGGAATTACATTATTCAATGTGATTCATGTGAATTGCTAAGAAAGATGATATAAATGCAAAATTCGGTATACTGTTCTTGCATTTTGTGATGATTACTACGTGTCTAGTATTCTGTTCAATTGATTAATGTCTCTTTAACTAAAGTTCATATCTGGCTTGTATTGAAGGATAGCAAAGATGAACTGGTATACTTTTTATGAATGTGTTATCGAATTGTGGAACGAATGGGAGCTTCGCGCAATGATTTTGCTAAGTCTCTCCCTGCAATTTTTCCTCATTGTCACTGGTTATCGACGAAAGTATACAGCCGGAATCTGGTTCGGGATGTTTGTTTGGCTAGCATATTTGTCAGCAGATTGGTTGGCAACTGTTACATTGGGTATTCTTGCTCGTAGCCAAGGGGGTTCAGAATCCAAAGGTACAACTTCAAATGAAAGCTTCATCCCGGCATTTTGGGCACCGATGCTCCTTGTACACCTTGGTGGTCCTGACACTATTCTTCCTATTCAGTAGAGGACAACGAATTGTGGTTAAGGCACTTGCTACAACTATTAACCCAACTCGCGGTGGCCTTTTATGCATCGTTTAGGTCATGGTGGAGCAAGGATCCGCTTATATATGTAGTCATTCCCATCTTTGTTTCTGGAGTTATCAAATATGGAGAGAGGGTTTTGGTCCTCTGTTTAGCAAGCTCCGACCAGTTTAGGGACTCCGTAAGCAAAGAAAGAGTGGCTCTACAAGGGCAAATAGAAAGGTCATTTCCAAACGAATACTTCGATGGCATGAGCACAGAATATATTGATGACAATTTGGGCTTTAATAGCATAATATCTGAGGCCAAATATCTCCATGAAGCTCACTTGCTGTTCCGAACTTTGAAGTTGGTATTTGCGGATTACCTTGTTACATTTCGTACTCATACGATCAGCTATCATATGTTGAAGGGAAAGAATGCCGTTGAAGCATTCAAATTGATAGAAGTTGAGGTGGGGTTTATGTTTGATTTACTTTTCACCAAGGTGATGACAGCAGTTTGTTGGAGACCACGCATCATTCTCCGCTTCATCAACTTTCTATCCCCTGTTTCTGCATTAATAGCATTCTCATCAATGACCAAAAACTCCCATACCTATTCCAAAATTGATATTATTATATCATACTTATTGCTGTTTGGAGCTGTTGTTCTAGAAATTTACTCGGCCATTTTGATGTTTTTCTCTGATTGGGCTATGCTTTGGCTAAGCAAGTAAAGGAAACCATCGGCGGATTCCTTTTATCGAGGTATTTGTTCATCACGGTTGCTATCGTTTTTTAGCAGTAACGAAAGGTGGAAAGCATCTATGGCCCAAAATAGGCTAACAGATTATCCAAAGACATCAAGCAAACACATCCCAAAACTCTTTAGCACTAGTAACATTCAGAGCTGGGAGGTTGTTAGTGATGATATAAAGAAATTGATCTTCAAACGTCTCTTAGATATTGGAAGAGAGAGGTAAGCATGCACTCGGAAGTAAGAGGTGCGATGAAAAATTGTCAAACGTCTCTTAGATATGCGTTCAAGATGCAATTTCTCAGGTGATAAAAAAGACATATTGGAAGAGAGAGGTGAGCATGCACTCAGAAGTAAGAGTTGCGATGATGAATTTCAACGGTATCTGCTACGAATAAACTTTCATTATAGCTTTCTAACATGGCACATTGCTGTTAATAATTGATTCGACCAGGATTCTTCGCAGTCAATTCATCGTGACATGAGCAGATCTTTATCTCGTTACATGATGTATCTATGGAAGGACTTGCCGTTGATGCTACCTAAAGCGTTGGGTGAACCAATGTACAAGCGATCCTTTCGCGTGCGGGATGATGCTGAGAATCTCAGCAAATTATTGGAGTGGCAGCAGGAAAACAAGGGATGGTCAGTTGATGAGAAATGGGAATTGATAAGTGAAGTGTTGGTAGAGATGCTAACTTATGTTGCGAGTCAATGTGAATGGAAAGAGCATGCTCGAGCGCTTAAAGGAGGAGGAGAGCTACTCACTTTGGTAGCCATTCTTATGGCTCATCTTGGTCTCCATGGGCAGTGTATCTATGACTAATTAACTAATGCTATTATATGTACAAATTCATGAATGTTATTATGTAATAATATACAATGACAGCTTCATAACTTTCATATAACACTTCAATTAAACCAGAAGTGATGCTTATGAAGTTTTAGTATATTGTTTGTTAAAGAAACAACGATTGAGCAGGATTTTGTTCAAAGGAATCGAAGCTCACAATATAATTATCTAAGTATAACCTTCGCAATCCTACAGACATTTCTTTGGCTGTGATAAGGTGTTTGATGAAATTTCTGACTGAAACGGAGACGAAAAGGATATGAAAAAAGGATTGATAGGTTTTTTTTCTCCACTGGTTATTTTATAAAGAGTAAATTACATATAATTTAGTCCTTGTATTGTTGATGATATTACAGGTTATGAAAAACATGTTCGTCCCTTGATTAAAGTTGACTGTTATTCTTTTCCCTAAATTTCTATATTAAACCTTTTAAATAAGCTTTTAATTTTTTCTATAGTATAAGTAAGATTGAAAACTTTGATTATCAATGCAGAACAATTTATGAAAAAAAAATCAATTTAATTGTGATGAAAAACCAACATATGGACCAAGTTACAATATATTTCATTCCAAATAATAATTTACTCTTTAATTATATCATTCCAAAACATTTTCTGTTTTTGCTTGCAATTTTATAAATATAAATGTGATGTAGTTGTTGTAAAGCCACCACTTAATTAATTAGTGGAAGACAAAATTGAGTGGAGTTGTTGGCATAATTGGAGATGAGTTGATGGCATAGTTGGTGGAGTATGAATGAAGATGAGTTGTTGGCATAATTGGTAGAGTATGAGTGGAGATGAGTTGTTGGCATAATTTGTGACATAATTGGTGCCATGATTTATAGCATTTATCCCCTTATTCTTGCCTATAAATAGTCAATGCCTCCAAGCTTATTATGTACACCAAGATAAAGAGAAAAAGAGGAGAGTGAAGAGAGAGTAATCTCACAAAATTATGAGGTATTTGTGAGAGAGTAAGTAAGGTGTTTTCTCCTAGTAATAGAGAGATTCTTAGTTGTTCTCCTATTATTTGAGAGAAGTTATAATTCCTACATTACTTACTAAAATCTTTTTATACTTACCTATAGATGTAGCCTATTCCTGCCTTTCATCTTGTCGGGTTTACATGCCAGTATCCTAACAATGATATCAGAGCCTTCTGGTTGGTGTTGTTAATACATAAAAGTTATTCGTGTATACGGTTACTATTCACGTCTACGATACTATTCACTTATATGGCACTATTCATCCATATAGTACTGTTCATATATATTACTATTGGTGTATATAGAAAGTCAATGTGGTGATTAAATACAATCTATGAAGTTCTGTCTAAGAAGATTGAGTTTTAAGCGGGACGATTTGTGAACCCTCCAATTTTTCCTAGGAACTTACTTAGTGAAGTATTATTCACATGATACTATTTCTGTATACATTGCAGATCAGTGAAACAATGATAGCTGAATAGATCTTGGTGAATACAATGACAACAAAGTACGAGATTGAGAGGTTTAATAAGAGCAATTTCTTACTATGAAAAATGAGAATCAAGGCAATCTTAAGGAAAGACAATTGCTTGACAACAATTGGGGATCGGCCCAAGGAAATCACTGATAATGCAAAATGAAATGAGATGGATGGCAATGCTATTGCTAACATACATTTAGCATTAGCCGATAAAGTATTATCAAGTGTCGCGGAGAAGAAAACAGCTAAGGAGATATGAGAAACTTTAACAAAACTATACGAGTCCAAGTCTTTGCACAATAAGATTTTTTTAAAGCGGAGACTTTATACCCTTTAAATGGCAGAAACCACATCGGTGACTGACCACATCAACATAATAAAAACTTTATTTTCACAACTCATTACATTGGGTCAATAAATAGAGAAAAATGAATGTGTAGAGCTTCTACTTCAAAGTCTTCCTGATTTGTATGATCAGCTCATTATCAACTTGACCAATAATATTCTCTCAGACTATTTAGTCTTTGATGATGTTGAGCTGCTATCTTGGAAGAAGAAAATAGGCGCTAAAACAAAAAAGACAAAAATATGAACCCATCTCTAGAGGCAAAGTATTCATGGGTGATAATCATCATTTAGAGATTGCTGGCATTGGCACCATCAAATTGAAGATGTATGATGACTTAATTTGTATTATTTTAGGAGTGCGACAAGTGAAAGACTTAAAGAAGAATCTTTTATCTATAGGACAATTTGATAGTCTTGGCTGTAAGATTCGAATAGACAATGGAATCATGAAAATTATCAAAATACGCTAGTGGTTTTGACGGCAAGAAA